AACTTGCGCGTCTTGACGTCCACGGCGACGACGTCGCCGAGCGGCACGGAGCCCGCGACCTTGCCGCCGGGCTCGCGCCAGGCGAGCGCCCCCCGCGCGACGGCGACGTGGTGAGCCCGCGCCGGTCCGCCGCGCGCTCGCAACCGGAACAACTGGCCCCGCGTCACGGCGTCGACGTCGACGGCGGCCGTGCGCGGCGCGGGCGTCTCCGGCGCCTCCGGCGCGGACAGCGCGGCCCAGACGTCGGCGGCGGAGCGGGGCTGCTCGCCGCGCTGGAGCGACGGAGCGCCCTCGTCCAAGCGGCGGAGCTCGGCGTCCATCATGTCCGCGAGCTCCGAGTCGAACTTGGCGCGGTAGCGCTCGAGCTCCGCGGCCATGCGCGCGGCCGCGGCCCTGCGGTCCCCGGGGGAGCCCGCGGCGAGCCCGCCCGCGATGTCGGACCACTCGGCGTGGTCCGCGGCCGACGACGCGTCGTCGGAGTCGTCGTCGGGCGCGAGCTTCGAGGCGAACCTTTGCTGCTGCCTCGCGGCGGCGCGGGCGGCGCGCGTCTCGAAGGGTTTCGCGGCCGCGGGGAAGCGGGCCTCCGCGCGCGCGACGGCCGCGGACGTGTACCGCGACGACGCCGTTCGCACGAACTCGGCGTTGCGCGCCGCGTCGGCCTTGGTCCGGGCCGCGTCGGCCGCCGCGCGGCGCGCCTCGCGGCGCTTCGCGTCCGCGCGCGCGGCCGCGCGGTCCGCCGCGGCCCGGGACGCGCGGGCCTCGCGGGCCAGCTTGACATCGTAGGCGAGCCGCGCCTCGTCGTCGCTGAGGATCTCGTAGGCCCGGGAGATGATGAGGAATGCCTCCGTCGCGCTGTCGTCGCCGGCGTGCTTGTCGGGGTGGAATTGCAGCGAGCGTCGTCGGTAGGCCTTTCGCAGCGCCTCGTTCTCGTCCGTCGACGACGCGCCGAGGAGCTCGTAGAGCGTCGACTTTCGCGCCGACGCCACGAAGGCCGCCGGATCCATCACGCTGCTCAGGGCCCGCGCACCGGCGTCGCGGCTTCTGGGGTTCTCGGCCTACGCGGCATCTTGGGCAGCCCCATCATGCTTGGATGCCGAAACGTCGTCAAAGTTTCCGTTACCGCCGACCTTGAAGCGAGCCTCCGCACCGCGCCCGACTCCTCTCCGCCCCTCGAGTCCTTACCCGAGGGTCCTCGGCACGCCCGTGCCGTCCTGGCCCGGCCGCGACTTGGGGATCTCGCGGAGGATCTTGGGGAAGTAGCCGACGCCGCGGCGCTCGTCGACGTCGATGGTGATGCCCTTCCACTTCGTGCGCCGCGTGGGGACGATGCCCAGGCGCTTCCAGGCGCGCTCCTCGGCGGCGCGCTGGCGCGCGCGGCGCGCCTCCTCCTCGAGCATGCGGCGCTTCGCGTCCTCGACCTGGGCAGGACAAGAGAGATTCAACGTCGCTTCAACGTGAGTGTTCCGCGCGCGCGCGTGCCGGAAAAAGCATCCATGCTTCGAGACCGTTCCAAGAGATGATCGCTCGTCCAAAAATCAGCCAAAACGAGTGGAAAACGGCCGAGATAGGAGCCTTTGAAGTTGGGAATTTCGCTCTCTTGTCCTGCCCTGTCCTCGACGCGGTTCATCTCCTCCATGCGTTTGGCGCGCGCCTCGGCCTCGAGGGCGCGCTGTTTCGCGAGCTGCTCGTCGATGGGCGCCTGCCGCAGGGCCGCCTCGCGGGCGAGGCGCGCGGCCTCGACGTCCGCGAGCACGGCCTCGACGTCCGCGTGCTCGCGCCGCCGCGCGATCTCGAACGCGTCGACGCCGCAGGCCGTCCTCGCGTAGGCGTCGGCGCCGCCGACGTCGAGGAGCGCCTTGAGCGTCTCGGCGTAGCCGTTGAAGGCGCAGGCGTGGACCGCCGTGACGCCCGTCTGCGCGTCGCGCGCGGCGGCGTACTTTTCGGGCGCGGCGACGACCTGCGCGTGTTTGGCGCAGGCCGACGCGAGGGCCGTGTACTCGACGACCCGCGTCTCCTTCTTGCCGTTGCGCTTGTATTCCTCGGTCCGCTTCCGCATGACGATGTTCGTGCGCCCGCGGAAGACGTCGCAGAGGAGGGCGTGGTCCGGCTCCTCCGGGAACCCCCAGTACTCCACGGGCCGCGGGTTCACGCGGCAGGCGTACTCCTCGAGGAGGTCCCGCATGGACCGCGGCTTCGGCGTGGCCTCTTCCTCGGCGTCCGAGTCGTCGTAGCGGCCCATCGTGCGCGCTGAGGGAGGCTGCCCCTTGCACTGCACGGTGCCGCGTGTATTATAGGCCAACCGTCGATGGGCTGGCATCCCGAGGCGGGCCTCGTGGCCGCGGCCATGGCGCGCAAGGAGGAGAAGAAGGCGCACCTGCGCGGGCGCAAGCTCAGCTTCGCGGACACGCCCGGCGGCGCCACGTCCGCGACGTCCCTCGGCGACAAGTCCATCGCCTGGCGCCACCCCGGCTCGTCCAACTCCGCCGTGAGCTTCTTCGACGACGGGTCGCGGCGGCCGACCTACGACACGCCCATGGGCGCGTCCGCGGCGACGCACCAGTCCTTCGTCACCCTCGACGTCGACAAGGCCTACGTGCCGCCGCCGAAGACGCCGCCGCGGACGTCGAAGCAGCAGCGGCGCATGACCGTGCTCGTGAACAAGCGGCTCGTGGCGGAGACGTTGGCCGGCGCCATCGGCGAGCAGAAGTCCATCACCTTGGACCCGGAGTCGAAGAAGCCCACGTTCCGGAGCCCGCGGCAGAAGAAAAAGTACGGCTGGGCCGACACGCCGAAAAGGAACAAGAAGCGGGCCGCGCGGCGCGTCAAGCGCGCCCTCGACGCGCTGCCGGCGCCGCCGTCCGTGGGCCGCTACGAGCCCTCCGCCGTCGACGAGGGCTCGAAGCAGGAGGAGCTGTCGTCGACCGCGGCGGCGTCGTCCGTCGGCTGGGCGGGCGCGGAGCCGTCCGACGTGCTCCCGCCGCCGTCGCCGGCGTTCCTGACGAACGTGCCGAGCCGCAAGATCCTGGGGGACGTCGACGCCAACGCCGCGCCGCCGCCGCCGCTGACGCGCCAGAGCTCGCTGCCCGACGCGCGGAAGGGCCGCGGGTCGGCCGTCGGCGCGGTCCGCGCGAAGCGCCTCGAGCGCCAGAGGGCGCTCGAGGAGGCGCGCCTGCGCACGATCGCGGACCGCGCGAAGCGGCGCAGCGACCTCGGCCGCGCGCGCCACTTTTTGGCCGGCGTCGCGGCCGCGGCCGCGGGCGACCTCTTCCTCGACGCGCTCGTCGGGGGCCGCGAACGACGGCGGCTCGCGGCGGCGCGCCGCGCGGCCCAGATCGTGCTGGCCTGCTGGTACAAGCGCCTGGCGCTGCTGGCCCGCCTCGCGACGACGGCGAAGATCGCGCGCGCGCGGTGTCTGGCGGTGACGATCAACCTGCGCTGCTGGCGGAAGCGGATCGCGCGGAGGCGCGTGCGCACGTTCGTCCGCGAGACGAACTGGTCCTTCCGCATCCGCGCGGCGCGCGTCACGTACCTGCGGCGCGTCCGCGTGCTCCAGAATTTGATCCGCGCGCGGTCCGCGTGCACGGCCGCGCGCCTCGTGGTGCTGCGGCGCCTCTGGGACGACGTCGAGCGCGAGCGCCGCGACGACTTCGCGCGCGACGCCGCCGAGGCCGCGGCGGAGGCGCGGTCGCGGCGCGACGCGTTCCTGAAGACGCTGGAAAGCAGCGACACGGTGGTCTCCGCGGAGACGGCGACGGTGTCGTCGTCGCGCGTCGCCGAGCGCGCGCGGCGCCTCGCGTGGAAGCGGCGCCGCGCGGATCAGGGCAGCAAAAGAGAGCGAAATTCCCAACTTTGGAGGCTCCTATCTCGGCCGTTTTCCACTCGTTTCGGCTGATTTTTGGACGAGCGATCATCTATCGGAACGGTCTCGAAGCCTTGATGCTTTTTCCGGAACGCGCGCGCGCGGAACACTCACGTTGAAGCGACGTTGAATCTCTCTTTTGCTGCCCAGGCGCGGAGTTGGCGCTCAAAGCCGCGGAGAAGAAGCGCGCGGCGCACCGGCGGATTGAAGCGAAAAAGGACGACGACCAGTGGGCCAAAATTTCCAAGAAGATGGACGGGCTCAAGGAGCGCGAGGTTTTTGCGGAAGCGCTGGGCCGCCACGGGCGGAGCCGGCCGCGGCGCGGCGCGCTGCTGCCCGCGGCGGCGCTCCGGTTCAAGGCGATCCCGTGCCTGCTGCGCGAGCGCGCGGTGCGCGACGTCCTGGCGCAGATCCGCGGCGACCACGGCGACCGCTGGGGCAGCCGGACGCTCCTGCAGCGCTACCGGGGCGCGTCGAAGCGCTACACGACGGCGGAGGCGCGGGGGCTGCTGGACGTCGCCCACGTCCGCGGCCGCGCGAGGCCCCTGCCGCCGACGGACCGCGCGATCCGCGAGTGGCCGCCGCTCGCGTTCTACCTGCCCTGGAACGGCGCGGCGACGCTGCCGCCGAGCACGTGGCGCCGCCACACGCTCCGGGACCTGGTCGTCTTCGCGTACTCGTGCGCGCGCGACGAGGCCTTCGACGACGACGCGACCGCGGTCTCGTCCGTGTCGGGGTTCGCCGCGGCGCGGGAGGAGGAGCTGACGTTCGTGAGTGCGTAATGACGCGGTCATCTTAGAGCCTTTTGCAGTACATCTTGAAGACAGCAACTTTGAAGAGGGACTCGTGGCTCAATCGTGCCTCATCACTCCACTGCAAGCCCTCCACCCGTGCTGCAGCAGCGTCCAATCGCCGTCTCCGCCCCCATCCGCCCGCCTCCCCGGCCCCGTTGCCGCGTATCACACCCCTGACCACCCTCCACAACTCTCTCCCGCCCGCCCGCTCTTTTTCGACGGACCGAAAATCGTCATCGCCGACGATCGTCAGAGGGGCTGAAATCCTGACCTTAATCGCCCGCCCCTTGCACCGCATCCCCGCCCGCACCCCCTCACCGACCCCCCCGATCGCAGACACTCACACCATGAAGCTCGCCCTCGCCCTCGCCCTCGCCCCCGTCGCGTCCGCCTTCTTCGGCGGCGCCAAGCCGGCCGCCGGCCGCGCGCCCGTGGACACGACGGCCGACATCGGCGTCGACCCCGGCCCGATCGAGCCCACGGGCCTCTTCTTCGAGGACAAGGAGTCCCTCGCCCGCCGCCGCGCCGTCGAGATCAAGCACGGCCGCATCGCCATGACGGCGTTCATCGGCATGATGGTCCAGGAGCTCGGCATCACCTTCCCCGGCTCCATCACCCTCGACGGCTCCGTCAAGTTCGCCGACATCGGCACGGGCTTCGCGGCCATCGAGAACATCCCCAAGTTCGGCCTCTTCCAGATCGTCGCCTTCGGCTTCATCGCCGAGACGGCCGCCATGCCCGCGTCCCAGTACACGGGCGGCCCCCAGAACCTCCCCGGCGGCTACGACGGCTCCGCGGGCACCATCCCCGGCGGCTACCCCTTCACGACGCAGATCGAGGACGTCACGGCCCGCAACCGCGCGCTCACGTGCGAGCTCCAGAACGGCCGCGCCGCCATGCTCGGCGTCACGGGCGCGATGATCCACTCCCAGCTCGACTCGTGCGACCACCACTTCTTCTACCCCATCACGCACAACTAGGGAACCCACCTCGACCGCCCGGGCCGGCGCACGCGCCTCCTCTCGTCTTCTCCTTCGTAACGCAGTGCCCCCCGGAGTTTGTTTGTGTGCGGTGCCTCTGCATCGGAGCGGGCGACTTTCTTGTTTAGAGTCGAACGGCCGGTCGGTTCGTATTAGAGCAGAGCTTCTAAGCGGCGCCCTGGTTCGCGCGTGGGTTCCCGTCTGCAGCATGTTGAATGTCAAGTTGAACAAGGCCTCGATTGGCTCTCGGATGGTGTACTGAGTCGAATAGCAGCACGATACGATCGCAGCGCGACGCCATCGAGCTCTCCAGTCCGATCGCAGTCCGCGAAGCGACAAAACTGCAGCACAGCAACGATGCTGTCCTGGGCCATCGTCGTCTGCTTGGCCTCCATTTCCCGAGCGCACATCACGGTGCTGTCCTGGGAGCCGCGCATCCACCTGCACCACGGCATGCTCGACGAATTTGAGATCGCCCACCTGCTCGCGCTGTCGTCGAGCCGCTTCGCGGCGTCGGAGCTCGAGGTCGGCGCGAACGACCAGCGGCGGACGTCGGAGTCGTGGATGGTGCCGCGGACCGTCGAGCGCGACGACGCCGTCGTCGCCGGCGCCGTCAAGCGCATGCACGCCGCCGTCGGCATCCCGCCGCGCTACGGCGAGGCGCTCCAGGTCGCGCGCTACAACTCGACGAGAAACTACTACAATTTCCACGCCGACAGCGCGAAGTCGACGGCGCGCGTCGCGACGGTCCTGATCTACGTCGAACGCGCGGACGAGGGCGGCGAGACCATCTTCCCCTTCGTGCGCAACGCGTCGTCGGCGCCGGCGACGCTGCCGCCGCCCGTCGACTTCGCGAAGCAGGTCATCCGCGAGGACGCGCTCGACGCCTACTGCGCGTCGGACCAGCACCTCCGCCTCGCGCCGGAGCCCGGCGACGCGCTCGTCTTCTGGAACTTCCAGCCCGACCACGCGACCGTCGAGCGCGAGCGCCTGTGGCACGCGGCGTGCCCGGTGAAGCGCGGCCGCAAGGTCGTCGCGCAGCGCTGGGTCCGCTCCATGGCCGCGGGCGATTTGCCGCCGAGCTGGCTCGACGACTCCGGCGCCGCCGCGACCTTCTGCCCGCGGCAGCGCATGCCCGCGGGCGAGTACACGTGCGACGACGCGGCCTGGGCCGGCTACGCGTGCGCGGACCTCGCCGCCGACGGCTACGCCTGCGCCGGGTGCAGGTGCCCCCTGGACGCGCAGCGCGGCGCGCCGTTCCGCCAGCCCTGGGACGTCGACGACCGACCGGAGCTGTGAGGAGGCGTAAAAACTCGTTGCTGCCAAAGACCCCGGCCTGGCCGGCCACTTTTCGAGGCCTTTTTCGGGGAGCGGCACCCGCCTGCAGACTTGGCCGGGGGTCCGCAGGCGGGTGGGAGAGCGGCATCTCGAGCGCTCGAGCTCCTCTGAGATTTGATTTCACCAGGCGCGTCGACCGTGTACAGTATCGCAAGCGCGTGACGCAGCCGGCATTGCACGCAGCAGCAGCACACATAGAAGCACAGAACTCATCAATGGAAGCGCTCATGTTCAAGAGCACCGCGGAGCTCCTCGCGGCGCTCAACTCGCCGCACAACACGACGCGCAAGGCCGCGGAGCAGGCGTTCCTCCAGCAGCAGGCGTCGAACGCGGAGGCCCTGGCGCAGGAGCTCCTCAACGCCGTCGGCGCCGGCGCGACGCTCCCCGAGCCGTCGCGCGTCATGGCGGCGGTGCTCGCGCGGCGCTTCACGGCGCCGATGACGTGCCGGTCCGACGCGCCGTGGGCCGCGGCCGTCGTCGCGAGCTTCCGCGAGGCGCTCTGCGCCAAGATGCTCGGCGAGGCGTCGCCCCTCGTCGCGCGCCAGCTCTGCCACGCCGTCGCGTCCGAGGCGTCCGCGGGCGCGTGGCCGGAGGTCCTGCGGATGGCCGGCGACGCGCTCGGGCAAAACGTCCCGGCGGTCGAGGCCGGCGACGCGTCGCGCGCGCCCGCCGCGCGCATCTGCCTGAGCCTCGCGCGCGCCTTGGTGGAGGCCGACGCGGCCGGCGGCGACGCGGGCGCGGAGGCGCTGAGCCCGCTGCTCGCGCGCTACTGCGCCGTCGGCGACGGCGAGACGTCGACGCTCGCGGTCCGCGCGGCCTGCGCCCTGGGCGCGCGCGCCTCGGCCAAGGCGCGCAAGGCGACCGTGGGCCCCCAGCTCTGCGGGCCCTGCCTCGCCGCGACGCAGAAGCTCCTCGAGGCCGGCGACGAGTCCCGGGCCGTCGAGTGCTTCGACGCGCTCGTCGACGTCGCCGCGGACGGCGCGGCCTTCTTCGCGAAGCTCGCCGGCGATCTGGCGCGGTTAGTCGGCGCCGCGGCGAACGCCGACGCCTTCGAGGCGACGACGCGCGGCCGCGCGCTGGAAGTGGCTTTGACGCTCTGCGAGGCCGCTCCCGCTCTCGCGCGCCGCAACGCGGCCGTCTTCGTCCAATCTCTAGTCCCCGTCGCCGTGGGCCTGTCGCGCGCCGTCGAGGACGACGCACCGGCGGCCTGGGCGGGCCGGCCCTGCGAGCTCGCGCCGCTCGGCGAGCGCGACGACGAGAGCGACCACGCCAAGTCCGGCGACGACGCGTTGAAGCGGCTCTGCGGCGCGCTGGGCAAGCAGGTCGCGCCGGCGCTCCTCGAGTTCTGCGGCCAGGCCTTCGGGTCCGCGAGCTGGGTCGACGCGCGCTGCGGCCTCGCGGCGCTCAACGCGCTGGCTCTCGGAGCGCCCAAGGAGCTCAAGCCCCACGTCGCGACGGCCGCGGCCGTCGCGGCGCGGACCATCGCGGCCCCGGCGTCGGACCCGCGCTGCGTCGTCGAGGCCTGCCGCCTCGTGGGCGCGTTGTCCATGGCGACGAAGGAGGCCTACCAGCGCGCGTGCTCCGAGGACGAGATCCCGTCGCCCGTGCCCGCCTTGGCCGCGGCGTTGGCGGACGCGGCGCGGAGCCCGCCGCGCGTCGCCGGCGCGCTCTGCGCGGCGCTGTCCGTCTTCGCCTCCGCGGGCGAGGACGACGGCGGCGACCCGGCCTACGTCGACGCGCACCTCGACGCCGTCGTGCCCGCGCTCGCGTCGACGCTCGCGCGCGTCGGCGGCGACGCGAACGCGCAAAAGGCGACGCTCGACGCCGTCGCGACGGTGGCGTCCTGCGCCGAGGGCGCCTTCGGGCCCTACTACGGGACCTTCATGCCCACGCTGCTCGCCGCGCTCGACGCGACGGCGGACCGGCGCCACGTCGACCAGATCGCGGCCGTCCGCGCGCGCGCGATCGACTGCGCGGCCGTCGTCGGCGCCGCCGTCGGCGTCGACACCTTCGCCGCCGACGCGCCCAAGGTCCTCGCGGCCATCGCGGGCGACCTCGGCGCCGCGGGTCCCCAGCAGGGGGGCGACGACGTCGACGCGGACCTGCCCTTGTCCGTACTCCTGCCCGCGGCCGTGTCCGTCGTCAAGACCTGCGGCGGCGCGGCCGTCGACGCCTACCTCGAGGCCATCGCGGCGCCGCTGCTCGCCGCGGCGACGGCCGTGCCCCAGATCTCGCACGCGCCGAACGTCGGCGGCGACGACGCGGGCCGCAAGGAGGAGGACGGCACGTACTCCGTCGTCATGGGCGACCTGCGCATCACCGTGGACCTGCGGGCCTTGTGGGCCAAGGAGAAGGCGTCGGATTTGCTCGGCGAGCTCGCGGACGCCTGCGGCGATTGCCTGCCGTCCGCGGCGGCCGTCACGTTCGCGGAGGCGCTCGCGCCGCTGGCGACGTTCGTCGGCTCCGAGTCCGTGCGGTCCACGGCGTCCCTGAGCCTGGGCCAGGTCGTCGGCGCGGCCGTCGCGCGCCTGCGCAAGCACCCCGGCGAGCCGGGGCTGCTGGAGAGCGCGGGCGCGCTCGCGGCGGCCGCGCTGCGGACGGTGTCGGACGCGGCCCAGAAGGAGACCGCGGACGACGCGCGGCCCATGCACGTCCAGGCCGTCGCCGACGTCCTCGAGCACGTGGGCCAGAGCCACCCCGGCGGCCTCGAGGCCGGCCTCGCCGCCGCCCAGGCGTCCGGCGGCTCGCACGCGCCCTTGGGCCGCTTCCTCGACGACGCGTATCTGGACGGGCTCGCGCAAACCCTCCTCACGCTGGCGACGGCCTCGACGCAGCGCCGCGACGCCATCGAGAAGGACCTGGCCAACGACGACGCCTACGACGCCGAGGGCGAGGACGCGGACGTGCTCCAGGAGGCCGTCGAGTCGGAAGAGGCGCTCCAGACGAACGTCGTCAACGCGCTCGGCTGGGCCTTGAAGCTCAAGCGCGACGCCTTCGCGACGTCGACCTTCGCGGCGCGCGTCGCGCCCTACTACGGGCCCAAGATCCAGGCGCCGGACCCCGCGGAGCGCGATTTCCACGCCGCTCTGTGCGTCTTCGTCGACGTCGTCGACCACGCGCCGGCCGCGCCCGCGGCGGCCCAGGCCGCGCCCCTCGTCCTCGCCATGTCCCTGAAGATCCTGAGCCAGGGCCTGGGCGGCGCGGACCTCCGGGCGACGGCGGCCTACGCGGTCGCGGTCGTGTCGCGGTCGCCCTTGGGCGAGGAGCTCGTCCGGTCCACCACCCAAAACAACCCCCAGGCCGCCGCGGACCTGCTGCGCTCCGTCGCCGACGCGGCGCCGCGGCCCGAGGACGACGACGACGACGACCCGGACGCGGCCGCGCGCGTCGCCGAGAACGCCGCGAACGCCGTGAAGGCCATCGTCGACGCGGTCTACGGCGGCGCGGCGCCCGAGCGCGCGCCGCTCCTCGGCTGGTGGCTCGCGAAGCTGCCCCTCACGGCCGACGACGAGGAGGCGCGCCGGGCCCACAAGGACCTGGCGTCCCTCGTCGAGAGCCGCGACGCCGCGCTCTTCGGCGACGCCGCCAACGTGTCGACGGCCGCCGCGCGCCTCGCGGACGCGCTCGCGGACTACGAGGAGCACGGCGACACGCCCTCCAAGCCCCCGGCGGCCCAGCTCGACGCGTCCACGGCGCCCCGGGCCGCCCGCGCGCTCAAGAGCCTCAACGCGGACCACCCGGCGTCCGTCCAGGCCGCGTACGCGGGCCTCGCCGCGCCCGCCCAGGCCGCGCTCCAGAAGGCCTGCACGGCCTGATGGCGGCATCGCGCGCAAGAAGTACCCCCAGTTCCCCCCTAAGCGCACATGCGCCGAGCTTAGCGGAGGCTTTTAGTGGCCGCCGGGCGGCGACCAGAAGGAGAGGATGGTGAGGAGCGCGTCGTGGGGGAGCGCGAGGTTGGAGAGGATGCTCATGAGCGGGCGGCGGTGGCGCTCGACTTTTGCATCCCAGCCGCCGGTGTCGATGATGTCGACCATGTAGTCGTGGAGGGCTCCGTTCTCTGGCGTAATCTCGGCTCTACGCAAGGCCGCGATGGCCGCGCCGGCGCGGAGCAGCGTCAGGGCGGCCTCGCGCTGACCTGCGGCGATGGCAATGCGCAGCGGGGTGCTACCCTGTTGAGTCCTCGCTTCCATGTTTGCGCCGGCGGCGATGAGGAGTTTGGCGGCATCAGAGCGTCCACGTTGAGACGCGATGTGAAGAGGAGTCGCGCCATGGTTCTCTCGAGCGTTTACATCCGCGGGCGCACGCAGAAGAACCCGCACGCAGGCAGTGAAGCCGCGGTAAGCGGCCTCATGCAGTGAGACACTGTCGTCGTCTGTGGAACCGATGTTCGCATCTGCTCCTGCGGCCAAGAGTATTTCGCACATCCCCGCACGCCCCATGGACGCCGCGAGATTCAATAAGGGGAAATGGCTGTCCAATCCCGTGGTTACATTTTTGCAAGGCATCATCCCGTTCACGTCGGCGCCGCGGCGTATCGCGTCGCGCAGCGCGGCTTCGTCGTTTCCCTTTATCGCATGCCTAGCATCCTTCACCAACGCGTCCATGCCCGGACCACGCGCGCTCGCTCGGCCGCGACTCGAAGAGCAGGCGCGCGGCGTCGATGGGCAGAGGCGCAAAGCGAGGCGCGGTACCGGCACCGAGAGGGCTCTCAGCTCACATTGGCCATGCCGATTTTGACCGGCGGCAACTTGAAGCGGTTGACCCAATGTTGCCCTTAGAGTGCCGCGCCAGGCGGCGCTGTCACGCGCGAAGAAGGACCCCCGTTTCCCCCCTAAGCACATGCGCCGAGCTTAGCGGCCGCCGGGCGGGGACCAGAAGGAGAGGACGACGCAGAGCGCGTCGCGCGGGAGCGCGAGGTTCGACAGGATGCTCATGAGCGGGCGGCGGTGGCGTTCAACTTTTGCGTCCCAGCCGCCCTTGTCGATGATGTCGACCATGTGGTTGTGGAGGGCGCTGTTTTCTGGCTTGATCCATTCCGCGCGCAAAACCGTGATGGGCGCGCCGGCGCGGAGCAGCGTCAGGGCGGCCTCGCGGTGACCTCTTGCGATGGCAATAAGCAGCGGGGTGAAACCGTGTTGGCTCCTCGCTTGCGGGTTCGCGCCCGCGGCGATGAGGAGTTCAGCGGCATGAACGCGTCCATGGCAACACGCAGCGTGAAGAGGAGTGAAGCCCTTGTTCCCTCCAGCGTTCACGTCCGTGCCCGCGCGCAGAAGAAGACGCACGCAGGCAGTGCAGCCGTTGCCAGCGGCATCATGGAGCGCGCTAGAGCCATCTGTTGTGGCAGGGATGTTCGCATCTGCTCCTTCGGCCAAGAGTATTTCGCACATCCCGGCGTTCCCTTTGCACGCGGCGAGACTCAACAAGGGGAAAAGCCCGCTCGCTTCCGTGGTTTCGTTGTCGCAAGGCACCATCCCGTTCACATCGGCGCCGCGGCGTATCGCGTCGCGCAGCGCGGCTGCATCGTTTGCTAAAATCGCGCGCTTAGCATCCTCCACCAACGCCTCCATGCCCGGACCGCGCGCGCTCGATCGGCCGCGACTCGAAGAGCAGGCGCGCGGCGTCGATGCGCTGCCGACGGTCAGCGGCGCGTGGGCGGAAGCGCAAAGCGAGGCTCAGTGCCGGCCTGATCTCAAGAGTCTCAGCTCAGGCCGACTTGACCAGGGCAAGCTGCCGGCAACATCGAACGTCCAGTCCCAGAGTGCCGCGCCAGACGGCGCTGTCACGCGCGAAGAACGACCCCCGTTCTCCCCTGGGCACATGCGCCGAGCTTAGCGGCCGCCCGGCGGGGACCAGAAGGACAGGATGACGCAGAGCGCGTCGTGCGGGAGCGCGAGGTTCGACAGGATGCTCATGAGCGGGCGGCGGTGGCGCTCGACGCGCGCGTTCCAGCCGCCCTTGTCGATGATGTCGACCATGTGGTCCTGAAGGGCTTCGTTTGCTGGCTCGATCCATTTCGTGGGCAAGGCCGTGATGGCCGCGCCGGCGCGGAGCAGCGTCAGGGCGACCTCGCGGTGACCTTTTAGGAGGGCAAAACGCAGCGGGGTAGTACCATGTTGGTTCCTCGCTTCCAAATTCGCACCCGCGGCGATGAGGACTTTGACGGCATGAACGCGTCCATGGAAACACGCAGTGTGAAGGGCAGTCGCGCCATCGTTCCCTCGAGCGTTCATGTGCGCGCCCGCTCGCAGAAGAAGACGCACGCAGGCAGTGCTGCCATTGTAAGCGGCAATCTGGAGTGAGACGCTGCCGTCTAATGTGGAAGGGATGTTCGCATCTGCTCCTGCGGCCAAGAGTATTTCGCACATCCCCGCAAGCCCTTTGGACGCCGCGAGACTGAACAAGGGGAAAAGGCCGCGCGCTCCCGTGGCTTGATTTTCGCAAGGCACCACCCCGTTCACGTCGGCGCCGCGGCGTATCGCGTCGCGCAGCGCGTCTTCGTCGTTGGCATATATCGCATTGCTAGCATCCGTCACCAACGCCTCCATGCCCGGACCGCGCGCTCGGCCGCGACTCGAAGAGCAGGCGCGCGGCGTCGATGCGCTGCCGACGGTCAGCAGCGGGCGGAGGCGCAGGCGAGGCTCAGTGCCGGCACAGAGAGTGCTCTCAGCTCAAATGCCCAGCTGAGATTAATCTGCCGCGGCGGCAATGTTTCCGTAAAGTTGCCCTTAGAACGGCGCGCCAGACGTTAAGCCAGAGGGCGCTGTCGCGCGCGAAGAACGACCCCCGTTCTCCCCTGGGCACATGAGCCGAGCTTAGTGGCCGCCCGGCGGGGACCAGAAGGAGAGGACGACGACCAGCGCGTCGCGCGGGAGCGCGAGGTTCGACAGGATGCTCATGAGCGGGCGGCGGTGGCGCTCGACGCGCGCGTTCCAGCCGCCCTTGTCGATGATGTCCATCATGTAGTCGTGGAGGGCGCGATTCTCTGGCTTAATCTCCGACGAGAGTAAGCCTTTGATGGCCGCGCCGGCACGCAGCAGCGTCAGGGCGGCCTCGCGATGACCTCTTCGGAGGGCAACGCGCAGCGGGGTGGTACCATGTTGACTCCTCGCTTCCAGGTTCGCGCCCGCGGCGATGAGGAGTTCGGCGGCATCAACACGTCCGTTGTAAGACGCAACGTGAAGAGGAGTTCCGCCAGTGTTCGCTCGAGCGTTCACGTCCGCGCCCGCTCGCAGAAGAAGACGCACGCAGGCAATGAAGCCTTTAATAGCGGCGTCATGCAGTGAGACACTGTTGTTGTCTGTGGAACCGATGTTCGCATCTGCTCCTGCGGCCAAGAGTATTTCGCACATCCCCGCAAGCCCCACGGACGTCGCGAGCTGCAGCAAGGGGAAATGTGCGCGCGCTCCCGTGGCGTAGTTTGTGCAAGGCACCATCCCGTTCACGTCGGCGCCGCGGCGTATCGCGTCGCGCAGCGCGGCTTCGTCGTTTGCTCGAATCGCGGCTCTCGCATCCTTCACCAACGCGTCCATGCCCGGACCACGCGCTCGGCCGCGCCGCGCCTCGTAGGTCAGGCGCACGGCGTCGATGCGCAGCGGAAGGTCAGCGGCGCGTGGGCGGAGGCAACGCGAGCTCAGTACCGGGGTCTCAAACCCATGCCATTTTGACCAACGGTAACGTCGATGTTTCCCCCCTGTTGACCATTCAAAGACGCGCTTCCTCAGCGCCCGCGGCGCCCATCGTCGGCGCGCGCGGGCTGCCGGCGCCCTCGAGCTTCGACATAGACAAAGCGCCCTCCAACACCAACAAAAATAACATGGCGTCGCAGCAGGCGCAGGGCGCCCTGGGCGTCCTCGGCGGCGCCGTGCTCGAAAAGGGCGCGCGCGGCGGCTGGGGCACGCGCTACCTGACGCTGCAGGTCGGCGACGAGATCCCCGACTTTAGCGCGGACTCGTCCGTGGGCAAGTTCACGTACCACGACATGGTCGACGGCGTCTGGTCCGTGCTCGTCACGTTCCCCGGCGACCGCGAGGCCGTCGCGACGACGGAGATGGGCCAGCTGAGCAAGCTCCGCGACGAGTTCGAGGCGCGCAACGTGCGCGTCATGGGCGTGTCCTGCAACACCAAGTACCGCCACCGCGAGTGGATCGCCGCCGTCGAGGACATCGAGGGCTGCAAGGTCGCGTTCCCGCTCATCAGCGACGCGGACGCGGAGATCTCCGCGAAGCTGGGCCTCGTGAAGCACGACTGGAAGAAGCGCAACTTCCCCTCGGCCAAGGCGGCCCTCGTGCCCGCGACGCTCGTCGTCATCTGCGACATCGACAAGCGCGTCCGCCTCACGATGCAGTACCCGACGACGACGGGCCGCAACTTCTACGAGGTGCTGCGCGCCGTCGACACGGTCCAGCTGTCCCTCTTCCACCAGGTCGCGACGCCCGCGAACTGGAACCAGGGCGAGGACGTCTTCATCGGCCCGAAGCTCTCCCGCGTCGCCGCGCAGTCCGCGTTCCCCAAGGGCATGGTCGAGCAGCGGCCCTGGTACCGCACGACGCCCCAGCCCGACATCTTCGGGTAATACTGTTTTTAGAGGGCGATGGGCACGGAGGACGACTCGACGTGCGTCTTGTCGACGAGGAACGACGTCCAGTCCGCGGCCGTGATGGGCAGCAGGCCCATGGTGTTGAGCTTCCAGAGGGCGAGGGCGATCATGCCGCAGTTGCAGCCGACGAAGGCGAGCTTCGGCAGCGTCAGGTCCACGGCGGGGTCGTGCGCGAAGCGCTTGAACGTGTCGTCGATGGCGAGGATCGACTTCACGGGGTTGATGAACGCCATGCCCGTGATCATGATGGAGAAGATGTTGATCGACGACCCGCTCATCCACATCATGAACCCTTGCATAAAAATGTTCTTCCCCGGCGCGATGCCCATCTCCATCGCGCGCTGCGGCGGGGCGGGGCGCGTCGAGCGGTCGCGCGGCGGTCGGTCGCGCGCGCGGTCGTCGCACCTTCTGCATCATCTCCGTCTTCGACCGCTGCTTCGCGTTCAGCGTCGTCTCGCTCTGCGCGGGGCGGCGGGGTCGGTGCGCGCGGCGCGCGCGCGAAAGCATCTTCTTTCTCCTCTTTGGCGCGGCGGCGCGCCTCGACGTTCGAGACGGCGTCCGCGGGCACGTAGCCGAGCGGCGACGGCATGGCCTTGGCGCCTTCGGAGGCCGACGACAGGTTGACGCGCCACCGGGACGGCGTCGCGGCGTCGTTCGCTTGCGGGCCCATCGTGTGTGTAAGCGAGTGTGGATGAGGTCGCTCGTGCACTCGTTTCCCTCGTCCAGCGCGAGCGCGACGATGAGCATGCGACGATGAGCATCTAATGAGCAGCCCATAGCACCCATGGCGCCGTCGCCCGGCAAGGGCCCGAGCCAGGTGAAGGCGCTCGTCGCGAGTGCCGGCGCGTCGCTGAGCGGCGCGCTGTCCAAGGTCGTCGGGTCGTCGAAGAAGTGCAAGGCCGCCGGCGAGGCCCCGGGCCACCTCCAGAGCCGCGACGGCCGGCGGGCGCTCCTGGACTGCCTCGAGGCCATGTTCGTTGGCCGCGGCGTGGCCAAGGGTGAGATCGGCGACCTGCTGCTCGAGCTCGGCCGCGACTTCAACGAGGACCGCCTCGGCCGCGAGCCCGGCGACGACGGCGCCGCGGCCGCCGAGGAGGCGCGGCGGACCAAGAGCAAGAACGAGATGAACCTGCCGCCGGAGCTCGTCGCCTTCACGCCCCTCCGCGAGCACCCCCTGGTCGCGGCCGCGCGGGCGGAGATCGAGGACGCGGAGCGCGCGCTGCTCGCGGGCGAGGGCGACCCGTCGCGGCTCTCGCGCGCGTGCGACGCGCTCGCGACGACCGTCGTCGCGGCGGCGGAGACCATGCTGCGCGACGAGTGCACCTTGCTCGACGCGTCGCGGGCCGCGCCCGAGTTCTTCGGGGACGTCTACAAGAGCCTCTGGCACACGGTGGACACGTCGGAGCGCCGCGGCGTCGAGGCGTACCTCCGCGCCGTCGCGCTCGTCGAGGCGAAGTGCGAGGCCTACGCGCGGTCCTGCGAGGGCCGCAAGGTGCTCCAGCGCGAGAAGCACGTCGTCACCCTCTTCCGCCAGGCCGCGGCCGCGCGGCCCGCGTTCGAGGCGTCCGTCGCCGACGCGTTCGCCGAGTCCGGCGCGGACCACGAGCTCACCTTCGACTTCAAGGGCTGCGCGCGCGTCGTCGAGAAGACGGCGCTGCGGCCGGACCGCCCGGGCGCCGCGGACCACGTACTCGACCTCTGCCGCGCGATGGCCGTCTGCAAGACCATGGACGACGTCGCCAAAGTCGTCAAGGCCGTCGCGCGGAAGCTCCGGCCCGTGCGCTGCAAGAGCCGCTTCGAGCGAGAGACGTCGTCGGGCTGGCGCGACTGCCTCGTGAACGTCTCCGTCGACGGCCACATCTGCGAGCTCCAGATCTCGCACCGGACGATGATCGCCGCGCGGCGCGGGCTCCACGGCCACGACGTCTACTCGCGGTCGCGCAACGCGGACGAGGTCATCGCCTACAAGTATCGCGACAAGGCCAAGGCCCTGGACTGCCAGACGGCGCTGGAGTGGGCCCTCTGGGTGCCCCGGCTGAAGCCGCCGACCTTCGCGACGGCCGACGACGACGGGCGCCTCGTCGCGGTGCGCATGGACGCGTCGACGGCCCTCGCGGCGGCGAGGACGGAGCAGTTCTTCGGGAACCTCGTCGTGCGCTATCTCGAGATCTGGGACGCCTACGCCTGCGACGCGCTCACGGGGTCGCTGTCGCCCTGCCGCGGCATGAAGGCGCTCCGGACGCTCAAGCTCGTGAAATGCCCGCGGGTTCGGGGCAAGCTCGCGGACGTCGCGGCCGCCGCCGCGGGCACGCTCGCGCACCTCGACGCGTCCGAGAGCGCGGGGCTCGAGGGCACGCTCGAGGACCTCAGAGCCTGCGGCAAGCTCGAGCGGCTCGTCTTGGACGGCTGCAAGCGCGTCGGCGGATCCGTCGCCGCGCTCGCGAAGCTCGAGCACCTCGTGGAGCTGCGGCGTCCTGCGGCCGTGACGATTTTCGAGAGATTTCGACCGGAGAAACGAAGAAAAATGACGCACTCGGTAGGTGGAGCTGCGCCTCGACGACACGGCGGCGCTCGGCGACGTCAAGGAGCTGCGGGGCCTCGCGAGCCTCGAGCACCTGTCGCTGCGGTTCTGCAACCTGCACGGCGATCCCGCGGCTTTCGCGAACCTCCGCGACCTCGAGACGCTGTGCCTCTCGCACGTGCCGGCGGTCCGCGGCGGCGTCGCCGCGTTCGCGCAACTGCCGCACCTGCGGCGCGTGAATTTGTTTTATTGCCGCGGTCTGAGCGGCTCCGCGGACGCGTTCCTCCAGTGCGCGGACCTCGTCTACCTCAACGTCCAGCAGACGGGCCTCGACGACGTCCTGCGCTTCTTCCACGCGCGGCCGCGCGTCGAGACGCTCTTCGACCGCGCGCGGAACCCGACGCGACGGCCGGGCGCGCCGAGGCCCGACGACGACGCCGACGGCGACGGCGACGGGCCGCTCCCGGCGGCGCCGGCGAAGCTCGCGCCCCTGTCGCCGCGCGCCGCGAAGACGCGGGGCCGCGGGCCGAGGCCGAAGCGCGGCGCGCGGCTGAGGTAAGCTTCAAGGTATACTTCAGCTCTCTGAAACAAGTTTTGAAACTGCCGGGCTCTATTTTCATCTACGCGCTGCCACTACTGCGGCCGGCGCGAACACGCCTCGAGGAGCGCGCGGAACGATGACCCTGGACCACCTCAAGACGCCGGAGGTGCCCCGGCGCGGTCTACGCCGCCGGCGGCCGTCGCTGGTCAACCTGCTCGAGCAGCACAGCGAGGCGCTCGCCCTGGGCGTCGTCGCCCCGCCGGAGGACGATAGCCTCGCCGTCGCCGACGACGACCGCAAGGGCCTCAACGCGCTCTTCCAGCTCGTCGGGAGCGGCGCGGAGCATCTGCGCATGGCCCACGTGGAGGGCTTCCTCGAGCAGCTGGGCGTTTTTATGGACGCGGCGAAGGTCCGCGACCTCTTCAACCTGCACGAGCTCCGGCTGTCGCCCGCCGAGGCCGAGGCGCTCGAAGCCGCGGGCGCGAAGGCGCCGGGCGAGGGCGTCATGGTCGTCGGCGGCTTCAAGCAGCTCCTCCACATGATCGTGAACTCGGGCGACGGCGGCGGCGACGGGCTGCTGGGCCTGGGCGACGCGTCGAAGCCGAACCACGCGATGAAGGCCGACGACGTCAAGAAGCTGCGGCGCCTCTTCAACTCCGTGGACATCGACGACGACCAGGAGCTCAACGCGTCGGGCGCGACCGCGGCGTCTCGTTTCGCGAAAACGCGTTCGCGACGCGCGACCCCTCGCAGAGATCGTGCTCGTGTTCCAGAAGTGGGGGCTCGACAACATCCTCGAGTCGGAGATCCTCGAGCTGATCTCGCGCTTCGACGTCGACAAGAGCGGCACGCTGGACTTTGACGAGTTCCTGGCGCTGGCGACAGCGGCGACGGCGCTGACGGCGGGAGAAGAGGAGGACATGGAGATGGTCATCAAGACCCACTTCGTGCGCGAGCACGCCAAGGTCCGCGCGCTCGCGGTGCGCCAAAGATTGAGCGTGGACGCGGCGACGCTCCAGTTCTTCAAGCGCGGCGACGCGCGGGACAACACGGTCGGCGCCGCGGGCCGCGTCGCGTCGAACGTGCTCCACAAGCTCGGCGGCGGCAAGGACGCGCAGCGCAAGGCCTACGAGCACGTGCTCCAGCGCCTCACGGGCGAGCTCGACGACAAGCTTCTGGAGGCCGCGGAGAACGGCCGCGTCGAGGAGCTGGGGCTCATGCTCGCGCGGGGCGCGAACGCGAACGCGACGCGCATGGACCCGCCGCGCGAGTCCGCGCTGGGCCTGGCGCTCCAATGCCGCCAAGTGAAAGCTGCGACGGCGCTCCTGGACGCGGGCGCGGACGCGGGCCTCAAGGACGACGCGGGCACGGGGACGATCCTCGCGGCGACGCTGTCGGGCTGCCTCTCCAAGTCGAAGCACGTCCTGCAGCTCCTGATATCGCGCGGCGCGAAGGTCAACGACCAGGACGAGCTCGGCCAGTGCGCGTTGCTCGCCGCGGTGCAGCGCGGCAAGGTCGTCGAGGTCGACGCGCTGCTGAGCTTCGGCGCGCACGCGAACCTGGCCGACGCCGAGGGGTCGACGCCGCTGATGAAGGCCGCGCAGGCCGGCGAGAAGGCGATCTGCGCGCGCCTCATCGAGGGCGACGCGGACCTGAACGTGCTCGACGACGCGAACCGCACGGCGCGCGACCGCGCGGCGCTCTGCGGCGTGGACGTCGTCGAGGAGCTCCTCGCGAAGCACGGCGGCCTCTCGGGCGACCAAGTCCTCGAGGCGACGTCGCCGCGCGAGCGCGAGCGGCTCGTCGCGAACGCGGGCCGCGTCAAGCGCACGAGCCGCACGGGCCGCCTCCGCTCGCTCAGCGACTCGAAGATGGAGCGCGCGCACCGGTCCTCGCGGCACTCGTTCTCCAAGTCCCTCGGCTCGCCCGCGTCGTCGCCCACGGGCGCCGACGCCACGGAATTCGCGGTGTCGAACGCGCTCAAGATCTTCGCCGACGACGGGCCCGCGACGCCCCGCTCCCCGCGGAGCCTGCTGGAGCCGCTGAGCGCGTAGGGGCGCCAGATCCGAATCAACTTGAAGCAGCTTGAAGTGCAACATTGGCCAAATCTGTTAACTTGCGCATGTGCTGCTGCTAATCGACTGATCGGCGCCGCTCTCAGCACGCGCTGCGAACGTCGAAGGGCGTGTAGGACTTCTCCGTGACGACGGGCGCTCAAGAACGCGACCGAAACCCCTATTCGGGTCAACCGCTTTGGAGCGCCGAACACACTCGCAGAAACGTCGGCGACGACGTTAGCGCGACGATGCCGTCCAGCGAGCCCGACTTCGCGTCCATGACGGAGCGCCAACAGGTGGCGTATCTCCTGAAGGTGCGCTCCGCCGAGAAGCCGGCGCGGCGCGGCGGCGACAAAGAAAACGACGAGAACGCGCCGCCGACGCCGTCGGACGTGCTGAAGCGAGGCGACGTGCTCCAGAAGCCCAAGGACAAGCGGGCCAAGGCCAAGGGTCACGACAAGAAGGCGCGCGCGCGGTCGCCCATGCTGCGGCGGCCGCTCTTCCCCGCGGCGTCGCCCGTGGGCGCGCCGGACACGGAGGCGGCGGCGCCGGCGGCGCCGAAGCCGCTGTCGCGGGAGGCGCGGGCCCTGCGCGGCGACGAGCCGCGGCCGCCGCGCGCGCCGCGGCCGCCGCCCATCAAGTTCGTCGCCATCGAGTCCGTCGCCGCGGACGCGGCCGTCGACGCCGCGCGGGGCCGCCCCTCGTCGACGGCCGGCCCGCCGCCGTGCTCGTTCTGCCGGAGCGACGTGCCGTCGCTCGGCGACGTCGTCTGGATCAACGCCTACCCGGACAACGACCCGACGAACCGCGCGCGCTGGTACGTGTCGCGCGTCGTCCGCGTGCTCCAGCGGCGGCCGAACGGCCGCGGCGGCCGGCTCCGCGTGCGCTACGACGTCGACGCGTCGTTCGACACGCTCGACTGGCCCGACTTCGCGAACGCGCGCGTCGAGGGCCCGCGGACCCTCGACGGCCCCCTCGCGGCCGTGCGCGACCGCGCGGGCCGCTGCGTGCTCTCGGGGCCCCACGTCGCCGCGTTCGCGCCGTCGGCGGCCGCCGAGGCCGCGGCGGCGGCGCCGGGCGTCGACGCGCTGAGCGTCCGGGGCGACGACCCGACGGACGCGCTGCGCCAGTACAAGGAGCTCGCCGACGGCCTCCTCGCGGGGCTCCGGGGCCGGAGCTGCCTCCACAAGCACGTCTTCGACAAGGCGAGCACGACGCTGGTCGCGCGCGACGGCGGCGGCCGCGTCGTCGGCGGCGCGACGCTGCGGCTCCTCGAGAGCGGGCGGAGCGTCGTCGCCGAGGTCACGACGGTCTGCGTCGCGCAGCGCGAGGGCGTCGCGCGGACGGGCGTCGGCTCCCGGCTCCTCGACGCCGTCGAGCGGCTCGCGCGCGTCGAGGCCGGAACCCGCGCGGCCTTCCTCTTCGCCGCGGCGGAGAACACGGACGCGGCGTCGGCCTTCTGGCGCAAGCGCGGCCTCGTCGCGGGGCCCGTGGCGGACCACGTCGCGCGGCACCTCGTCGAGGCGCGCGCGATCCTCGAGTACTCGAACGTGCACCACGTGTGCCTGCGCCTCGACGACGGCGACGACCTGCCGAGCGACGGCGACAGCGACGGCGAGGACCTCGGCGCCCACGCGCTCGCGCTCGAGGACGACGCGCTCCTCGCGGACCTCGGCCGCCTCGACATCGCCGGCGACAAGTGAGGCGCCAAGAAGACCCGCGCGCCGAAGCGAGGCGCGCGACCAAGATAGAAGAAGTTAACACACCGAGAAGCGGAGTGTGTTCCGCGGCGCGGGCGCAGGTGCTTGACCTTGTCCGTCGGTCATGATCGTCGCAAGTAACGTCGTCGCGCCTGCTTAACGTCATTGTTGAATCGATGATGACGC